ATACTCAGGAGTGAAATTGCTGGGTCATATGGTAAGTTTACATTTAACATTTTAAGAAGCTGCCAGACTGTCTTCCAAAGTGGTTGTACCATTTTACAGTCCCATCAGCAGTGGACAAGGGTCTCCCTTTTCCCACATCCTTGTCAGTCTTTTTGATCGTAGCTATTTCAGTCAGCAAGTGGTATCTCTTTGTGATTTCAGTTTTCATTTCCCTGAGTACTCGTGTTGAGCATTTTTTCATGTAATTTTTAGCTCATTTGTATATCTTATTTCATGAAACGTCTATTCAAGTCTTTGCCTGTTTTGTAATTGGGTTGCCTGTCTTATTATTCAGTTACAAGAGTTTTTTTATATGTTCTAGACACAGGTTCTTTTTTTATAATTTATACTATATTTATTTCAGCTTTATTGAAGTATAATTGACATATAAGATTGTAAGATATTTAAAGTATACATTGTAGAGACTTAATAAACCTATACATGGTGAAAGGATTTCCCCATCTAGTTAATTAACATGTCCATGACCTCACATATTTATCTTCTGTGTGTGTGAGAGAACATTTAAGTTGTTCTCTCTTAGCATATTTCAACTATACAATAGTATATTACCAACTGTAGTCACCATGTAATATTAGATCCTCAGACCTTATGTTTTAGCCGGAAGTTTACACCCTTTTCCAACCTCTCCCCATTCCCCCACCACTCAGCCCCTGGCAACTACTTTTCTACTCTCAGTTTCTGAGTGTGACTTTTTTTTAGATTCCACATATTGATGATACCATGTGAAGTGTTTGTCTTTCTTTGTCTGGTTTATTTCACTTACCATAAATAACACAGCAGGATTTCCTTGTTTCTCATGGCTGAATAATATTCCATTGTACATATATACCATATCTTCTTTATCCATTTATCTGTTGATGGACACTTAGGTTGTTTGCATATCCTAGCTATTGTGAATAATGCTGCAGTGAACAAGTGTATATGGAGTTCAAATGCCTCTTCAAGATTCTGTTTTCATTTTCTTTTTTTTAATTTATTTGGCTGTGCCAGGTCTTAGTTGTGGCATGCAGGATCTTCTTTGCAGCGTGTGGGATCTTTTAGTTGCCGCATGCAGGATTTTTTAGTTGCAGCATGTGGGATCTTTAGTTGTGGGATCTAGTTCCCTGACCAGGGATCAAACCTGGGCCCCCGCGTTGGGAGCACGGAGTCTTAACTGCTGGACCACCAGGGAAGTCCCTGTTTTCATTTTCTTTGGATATATACACAGAAGTGGGATTATTGGATCATATGGTTGTCCTATTTTTCATTTTTTGAGGAAAAATGCCACTTTGCCTAGTGGCCACACCAGTTTACCTTCTCACCAGTAGTGCACAAAGGTTCCCTTTTCTCCATGCCCTCCCCGACACTTTTTTTTTTTCCCCTCTGGTTGCATTGGGTCTTCGTTGCTGCGTGCGGGCTTTCTCTAGTTACGTCAAGCAGGGACTGCTCTTCTTGTGGTGCACGGGCTTCTCATTGCAGTGGCTTCTCTTGTTGCGGCACACAGGCGTCAGTATTTGTGGCACGCAGGCTCAGTAGTTGTGGCACACAGGCTTAGTTGCTCCACGGCATGTGGAATCTTCCCGGACCATGGATCGAACCTGTGTCCCCTGCATTGGCAGGCAGATTCTTAACCACTGCGCCACCAGGGAAGTCCCGAGGTGGCTTCTCTTGTTGCGGAGCACAGGCTCTAGGTGCCCGGGCTTCAGTAGTTGTGGCACATGGCCTCAGTAGTTGTGGCTCGCAGGCTCTAGAGCACAGGCTCAGTAGTTATGGCTCACGGGCTTAGTTGCTCCATGGCATGTGGGACCTTCCCGGACCAGGGATCAAACCTGTGTCCCCTGCATTGGCAGGCGGATGCTTAACCACTGCACCACAAGGGAAGTCCCTGGACATTTGGGTTTGTTTTCACTTTTTGGCTATTATATATAATGCTGCTATGAACATTTGTGTACAAATTTTTGTGTATACATAGATTTTCATTTATCTCTAGTATATACATGTAGGAGTGCAATTGTTGGGTCATATGGTAGTGAGTGTTTAAACTTTTGAGGAACTGCCAAACTGTTTTCTAAAGCAGCTGCACCAGTTTTATATTCCTACCAGCAGTTTATGAGCATTTTGATTTCTCCACACTCTTGTCAACACTTGTTATTATCTGTCTTTTTTATTATAGCCATCTTAGTGGGTGTGAAGTTGTAGCTTATTGTGGTTTTTTGGGTTTTGTGGGTTTTGTGTTTGTTTGTTTTGTTTTTTGGCTGCATTGGGTCTTCGTTGCAGCGTGCAGCCTTTCTCTAGCTGCGGCAAGCAGGGGCTACTCTTCGTTGCGGTACACGGTCATTGCGGTGGCTTCTCTTGTTGCAGAGCACGGGCTCTAGGTGTGTGGGCTTCAGTAGTTGTGGCACGCGGGCCCTAGAGTGCGTGGGCTTCAGTAGTTGCAGCGCGTGGTCTCAGTAGTTGTGGCACGCAGGCTCTAGAGCACAGGCTCAGTAGTTGTGGCGCACGGGCTTAGTTGCTCCGTGGCATGTGGGATCTTCCTGGACCAGGGATCAAACCTGTGTCCCCTACATTGGCAGGTGGATTCTTAACCACTGCACCACCAGGGAAGTCCTGCTCATTATGGTTTTGATTTGCATTTCCCTAATGGCCAATAATATTGAGCATCTTTTCATATGCTTATTGGATATTTGCATATCTTCTTTAGAGAAATGTCCATTCAGATCCTTTGCCTATTTTTAAATTAGGTTACCTGTCCTTTGATTATTGAGTGTAAGAGATCTTTTTTAAAAAATATTTATTTATTTATTTAGGTTGCACCAGGTCTTAGTTGCGGTACACGGGATCTTCCTTGCAGCTTGCAGACTTCTTAGTTGCAGCACGCAGACTCTTAGTTGTGGCATGCATGTGGGATCTAGTTCCCCGACCAGGGATCGAACCCGGGCCCCATGCATTGGGAGAACAAAGTCTTACCCACTGGAACACCAGGGAGGTCCCAAGAGATCTTTATATATTCTTTTTTTAAATTAATTTTTTTATTGAAGTATAGTTGATTTACCATGTTGTGTAGATATTCCTAATATAAGTCCCTTATGAGATATATGATTTGCAAAACTTTTTCCCATCCTCTGAGTTTTTCTCACTTTCTTAAAGGTGTCCTTTAAAAATAGTTTTTAATTTTAATGAAGTCGAATTTATCTGTTTTTCTTTTGTAGTATATACTTTTTGTGTCATATCTGAAAAGTCATTGTCTAATCTTTCCCTCTAAGAGTTTTATAATTTTAGTTCTTATATTTGGAATGATCCATTTTAAGTTAGTTTTTGTATATAATGTGAGGTAAGAGTCTAAGTTCATATTTATTTTTATCATGGAAAGATCTCAAAAAGTATGCTAACTTTGCTATACAGCAGAAATTAAACACAACATTGTAAATCAACTATACTTCAATAACATTTTTTAAAGTATGCTAGATGATAAAAGCAAGTTGCAAAATGATATGTGCAGTATGATACCTGTTCATGCAAAATTTAAAGGCACGAAATATCATATATTATTCATAATTACATATGTACACATAGGTAAAAAGTTTCACACCAAAACCTTTGACAGTGGCTGCCTCTGAAGGGAAGAGAGGAGGGGACTGGAAAGAATTAGTAGTGAAAGGGGTCTTCAGATTTATCTGCAGTGTTTTTAGGTTGGAATAAATTTGACACAATATTAATTATCAATTTGGGTGGTCTGTTATGTTCCACTTTTAAGCTTTTTCTGTATTTTTTTAAGTTTCTCAAATTAAAACACACAGACACGAATCAAAAGCAAGAACGATGGAGAACAGATCATTTCCGTTTGGTCCGGTGCTCACCCTGGGTGAAGCATTGAGCTGGGGCTTTGTGCACACAGCCTGTCAGGCTGTTCGAGGTGGCAGGTTCTGTTTGTACGTGGGGTTTCTGAGCCAGATCCCCAAAGATAATTATCTTCCTTTGAACTCATTTGCACACTTTGGCTTATATTTTCCCAGTTTTGCTTCCAAAGAAAACCCCGGTCTATATGCCACCCTCAGTTGCCCTTCCTCTGAAGAGCAGCAGAGCCCAAATCTCAGCGAGCTCCCTTTAACCGGAGTTTTAAAATTTTATCCCATTGCTCCACGCTTTCTCCAAAACTGAGGCAGAGCCTCACAAGGAAAGTTTGGTTTCCACTAAATGTGTGTCCATTCTCACCTAGTCCCCACAGGATGGCTCACAGAAGACCTCACTGTGTGTGCTTGACGAGTGCAGCACGATGGGCCAGATGACCAGGCTCCCGGGAACAGCCCGCAGCTAGACTCCTGACCCACAAACTCGGGCGCGCTCCCTGTGGCCTGGCAGCTGCAGAGGTGCAGAACACGTGTCATTGCCCTTAAAGTAGAAGGGCTTGTTCCAGCATCTCCCGCTGCCGAGACGTGCAGCCTGACACAGAGCTCTTCCTCTCTTCATCCTCGTTTTTCTTCTGTAAAATGGATGCAAAAAAACATGTGCCCCTTCTACTCACAAGTTGTTATGAGGATCAAATGAAATAATGCACCTGAATGTGTTTGCAAACAAAACTCAAAGGTGTTTGTATATTATTTCCCAGCTGTGTGACCCCAGCCCCTCCCAGATCCTCCAACCAGCTACTCTGCTCCATCTGTCCACCTGGAAGGCCCCCCCTCCCTGTGCACGCCTCTACCCCTTTCCCTCCCGCTTTTAGTCCGTTCTTCAGTGTTCCTGCTGCCTCTTCTCTCTCCTCCCCCTTTGTTCTCTCCCTTTCCTTCCTCTCACCAGTGCTGGAGGCAGCCTGACTCCTTCCTTTCAAATGGGATCGTGCACTGCATTGCCCCACTGAACTGAAGCCCTGGGCTGGCTCAGGTTGACTGAAAAAAAGGACTTTCCCCTTCCTCAAAGAGGTAAGGCACCTGAGATGACATGTTTTATCTCTTTGATTCTCCCAGGCTCAGGCCACAGGATCGCCACAGACGTCGCCCACTCACGGAGGCAGCCGCCCGATGCCCATGCCCGTGCACTCCACCTCCGCTGGCTCCACACCCACCCACTGCCCGCAGGACCCGCTGAGCGGAGTTGGCGGGGACGTGCAGGAGGCCTTCGCCCAGGGTGAGTCCAGGAGCAGAGTATAATGGAGCGCTGAGGGGGTTTGGAAACGTGGACAAGATTCCTACTGAGGTTTTCCCAGTTTCTTTTCTTTTGTGCACTTCGCTTTAAATGATCAGATTTTCACATACAGTAAAAATAAGTCAAGCGCTGATCCCTTCTCATTAGATGGGCTGGTCTGCAACAGGAGGTCTGCAGGCTTTGTACATGTGCGAAGTACAGGCCTCCTGGGCTTCTGTGCTCTTTTTTCTGGGTTGTGGGAAGTGCCTTGTCCTCTGGGCTTTGCCTCCTCCGGAGGAATTGGATGGAAGCATCCCCGAAGTCGGGCGCTCGGCCTGGAAAGTCCTTAGAGCAAACAAGAGAAGGAGTGGAACTCTAAACAGGACCTTGCTGAAGCCTCCTTGTCTGTGGAGCTAATGGCCAGCGATGTTATGTGGTTGGGGAAAGACAAGGCAGCTCAGGAAGTTTTCTTGGGGCGGAGACAAGAGCAGGGAGGTGGAGCTGGCGAGTTAAGTCCTGCCTGAGCATTTGTTCTAGAATCCACCTCCTTTGATTGTGGCTGAGAAGTATGGAGTTGACAGGGTCCTGCTCTTCAGGTAGAGAAGAGGGAGGAGGACCACAGACAGACCTGGGTACCGGTGCTCCCGACGGCCTGGGAGCGGGCAGAGCTGCTCGGCCCATCTCCCCCTAGGAGTTCTGCCCTGAGTCCCAGGGCCCCGCCGACCCAGGCGTTCACTCAGCTCTCTCCCCCCGACCCACGTGGCATCGCCATCTGCTCTGACTGCCCTCAGGTACAAGGAGAGACCTCCGCAATGACCTGCTGGTGGCCGCTGACTCCATCACCAGCACCATGTCATCCCTGGTGAAGGAGCTCCACTCAGGTGACGCCCACAGCGCCCGCCCAGTCTCCCACCTCCCCCTCCGCGCCCTCCTCGCCGCCTCACTGCGTGGTAAAGCGTCTCCCTAATTTCACCACGCGGTCGTCTTGCCTTCCAGGGATTCGCTGGATGCCTTCATCCTGGGAGCCTCTCTCCCACACGTGATCACATAGAGATAATCACACGTTTAGGTTCCTCTTAAGGGTATGCCCTGTGGAGCAAACACAATTCCGACCTTAAAGAAATTCAGCTCAGTTAGGCCCCTTCCTCCCTTAATTTGTCTTCCATCTGTGCTTCCTCCACAGCTGCTCTTTCCTTAGGCCTGCTCAGCTGTCTCGCTCCAGAGTGTTCCTGGATGACTGGAACCGCCTCAGCTGCAAAAGCTGCTGGACTTTCTCCCGGCTGCCTTTCTGCTCTCTCCTATTTGATTTGGTTTTGAAACCCTATTCTCTCCTTTTGTCCATGACGAGGCTCTGATTTCACTGGAAGTTCATGACCTGAGTCTGTTGCTTCCTTCGTTCCTCATGTTCAGTCTTATCTATGACTTCTTTCTCAGTCTGTCTGTCTCTTAGCTATTTCAGTGATTTTCCAGAGACCCTTACCTCATGGCATATTTCCCCTTACATAATACCCGGGAAGGAGAGAAAAAATAGAAGGCCATTCCCATTATCAGCATGTCTTCAAGAATCCCCATGATTACATCAGTTTTGAAGCCGTCAGGTATTTTGCTGATCTTTTTTATGGTGGTCAGATTCCCGTGTTATATATTAAACAAACACATTCCCTTCCTAAGTGCTGTGGGTCACTCATACAGATGGCCCTCTTTTGTGTCTTTCCACCTAATGTAATGCTTTTGGATACCTTGAACTAGCTTAACAAGGTTATTGAATAAAAATATAAAGCAGGTTTTCTGTGGGCTGTTCAGACACATGTACTTATTGAAACACAATACATTGAAATCATCTGTGCATGCGCTTAGGGAAGGCGAGCCTCGTGTACTCCTTCGGACCTTTGTAGGAGAAAGCATATGCCTTTAGTGTTGTCATGGGACCAGGCCAAGGTCTGGCCCACGGCTTCGCTCTCAGATCCGCTGTTTTCATTTAGAAGAGAATAAGTGTGTGGCCTGTGTTGTTTTTTTCAGTACAGTTAAGATGCCAGTTCTCCTGTTCAGGCAGCATTACAGTAACACTGTCTCCGTTCTGGTACCATTTCTCAATCCCTTTTAGAAGCACTGCTCCCCTCCACACACACATAAACAGAAGAGATGGCCACCTTTGGGATGACCTCATGGGTGATTAGAAAGTCCCTTCCCTAACATAGCTCCCACAGATGCCAGAAATCCCACTTCTGGAGGGAACTTCTTAGGGGATTTCAGGCATGGAAATTAACCACACTCATGCCTCATGGCCACGTATTAGGTATTGTGCAAAATGAGTGGTTCATGAGCTCATCACACTAGTTTGGGAGGTAACTAGACATCATTAAACACAAAGCACATAGAGACCAAACAGCTTCATAATAAGTAAGGGTATGGGGATAACTCAGCAATCTCTCCTAGTAAGAAAGGATAGTTTTAACAAAGCCATGCGATGTATTTGAAAGGGGCCTTAGAGATCACATTTTCCACTTCCCTTACTTTAGAAATGCAGCGAGTGATGATCAGAAAAGAGATTTGCCTAAAGTTACACAGCTTGAAGGGGCAAAGCTGGTCCTAGAGCTTAGGCCTGAACATTAAGCCGATGCTCTTACCACCACACTGTCCTTATCCCCGCACAGGACAAGGGATCATGTCTGCAATCCCACGAGGGCCCCTTTCACTGATGCTCCACTCTAAGTCCACGGTAGATGTGGACTAGCCCCACACATGGCCCAGTATCTCTATCAAACACAGAGGTAAACTCCCTTTACATGCAAGGCTGCCAGTTTCTCAGTGAGTGGAAGAGCCCAACACCAACGTGTGTTTTTTTTTAATTTTTTTAATTTATGTTTTTGGCTGCATTGGGTCTTCATTGCTGCACGCGGGCTTTCTCTAGCTGTGGCGAGTGGGGGCTACTCTTTGTTGCGGTGCGCGGGCTTCTCATGGTGGTGGCTTCTCTTGTTGTGGAGTACAGGTTCTAGGCGCACAGACTTCAGTAGTTGCGGTGCACGGGCTCTAGGGCGGGCGGGCTTCGGTAGTTGCAGCACGCAGGCTCAGTAGTTGTGGCTCGCGGGCTCTAGAGCGCAGGCTCAGTAGTTGTGGCGCACGGGCTTAGTTGCTCCGCAGCATGTGGGATCTTCCTGGACCAGGGCTCGAACCCACGTCCCCTGCATTGGCAGGCGGATTCTTAACCACTGAGTCCCCAGGAAGTCCCCAACCTGTGTTTACCATCACTGTCGAGATTTTCTTGAGGATGAGAGTAGGTGCTCAAATTATCTTCCATGTATTCTGTACGGCGTGGACATGCTGTTTATATCCATAGCTTGCCCTCCTCATCTTTTCTGAAATCTTTTCACAAATGATGGACTCTTAGAGTTGGAAAGGATCTTGGAAGTCATTTCATCCAGCTTGCTGCCTGATATAAAAGTCCTCTGTTTGAATATTCCCAGCGAGTTCATTCGTGACCAGCTCTCCTCACTGGGAAGTTCTTCCTTATCAGGGAGCCAAAATCTGCCTTTCTATAGCAAATTGATCCTCATTCCACCCTCTAAAGCTACCCGGAGTGAGCTCAGTCCCTCCTCTCATGTCAGCCTTTCCAGTATTTGATGGCAGATCACGTGGCTCTCCCGCAGCCTCTCCTCTTTAGGCAGCCGTTCACAGTTCCTTCAGCCATTCCTCATGTGACGTGGGTTTCACTTGACCATCCCGTGTGCCCAAGTGTTGCAAGGCCCTGGTTCAAAGTGAGTTTCCAGGGCTGAGCACGTCTCCACATTGCAACGGGTCTTCCCCCTGACCCCCACTCCACCCCCAGCACAGTGAGCTCTGCCACCTCCCTGAGCAGGCCCCAGGGAAAGTAACCTTAGATGGCATTAGCTTTCTTCCACACAGCCACTTTGCACTGTTCAGTCATTTTAAGTTTGTCATCAGCTAAAACCAGGTTTTTATATGTTTGTTTTGTTTTGTTTTTAACGAAAGCCAGTGTTCATCTAGGTATTCCCTGCTGTACACTTTTATCATTGTTTTCTTGAACCTGAATGCAAGGTATTAGCCATATACCTAGTAGATATCATCACCTTAGAGAAGCCAGCAATAGAGCCAGAAGCTGGGTGGGTGACATCAGACTGCACTGCTCTGGGCTCAGGGCTTATGGGGACATGATGCTGGGGCATGGACCACACAGGGTGCAGACTAGGTGATTTCAGCACCCTTGGAGACCTGAAGCCATGAGCTTTTAGCTAGGGTTTCATCCCAAGCCTCCTAAGCTACTCGCTTCTCCCTCCTCCTATGCTTCTACTGTGCCGAAGGGTCACTGGCCTCCTTGGACTTGTTTTCACAGCAGGGGAAGGTGCAGAGGAAGAAGAAGAGAAGATGCAGAATGGGAAAGACAGAGGTAAAGGCAGCTCCAGGACCCCTAGTCTGAATGGGAGCCAGAGCCCTAGCCCCTGAACGGAATCCCCCTCTCCCCTTTGTTTCTGCCTTCCTTCCTGCTGCCACCTTTCCCCAGAGCTTTCAGACCCCCACGGATCCTTCTCCCTACTTTTCCCAACTGACCATCAAGTTTTTCCCTAGAGGTGGTTGTGTCAGTGGATCAACAAAAGCTTTCTGATCTCCTGACACTATGATAGACGGATGGGATACAGGAAGTAGATACAATTAAAACACCAAACGTGACCCCTTGCCTCAAGGAGTTTATTATAATATAGTTAGGAGAGCAAAATTAAGATATGCAAAATAAATAGGAGATAAAAGGAAGTGGCAGGAAAAGTTAGTCATCGAACTTTGAGCGTATGATTATAAATACAAGGAGAGTTTCTGAAAAGGCAGAGATGATTGTGGACAGAAGAGCCAGATGGTTTTGCGGCTTCTCGGAGGAATTAAAAGCAACAGAGAAAGGTATCAGCACGGGACAGTAATCCTTCCTCATTTTATTGTATATAAAACCTTCTTTAAAATAATGTATGTTCAAAAGAGCTGTGCTAACTGATTTCCATGTATAATCTCATTCAGTCCTCAACAACCTGGTGAGATATGTAATATAATGATATCCCCACTTTGCCAGTGAGGAAATAGGCGCAGAGAAAGTTAGATCAACTAGCTATTAAGTGGTAAAGATTGGATTTGAGCTAGGTCTTTCTCACTCCAAACTTCATGCTCTTAATCTTCATGTTTCTATGTTGCCCTGAACAGATAACACATTTCTCTTTGGACATTTGAGAGTTAGCTGTTATTTCTGTGATGTATTAATATGTCCAGTTGCTGGATTCCTTCAAAATATAAGCTCCACAAGGTGGAGACTTTGGTCTGTTTCGTTCAGGTTGTATCCCCAGTGCCTAGAACAGTGCCTGGCATGTAGTGGGATGTCAGTAGATTCATAAACGTAAGGAAATAAACAGGCTGGTGTGCAGCAGAGCACTTTGTCAGGGAGAGAAGTGGGTGGCTGCCCGGAGGAGGCTGTGGAGCCTGAGGTGGAGCCGGCCCAGCTTTCTCGGGTCCCTGCTAAATGCTCTGCACGTAACACACGCTTCCTGTTTGATTCCACGGCCCCATGAGGAAAGGCTTCTAGACAGGGCTCAGGGTGGTTAAACAACGTGAGGCAGTTAGTGGCAGAGCCTGGACTCAGCCCAGGTGTCTCTGACACCAGTGCCCATGCTTTAGTCTGAGCCGACTGCGAGACCACGTGAAGGGAGAGAAGTCTTAAGGAAGGGTGGAAAGAAGTGGATACGGGAAAGGAAGTTGTGATGGGAAAGGGGGAGCATCTTGGGAGGGGTGTGTCCAGAGCTTTTACCCATAGTGGCTGGTGTGGATAAGAGAGTGAGGTCTTTGAAGTTTGTCAGCAAGGACACTGGAATTGCCAAGGAAGAAACGGAGAGAAGAAAAATGTACTCCAGGTGCTGAAATCATCGAGTGAGTCAGAGCAAGGCCTGGGAGAAAGTGGACGATAGCTATGATGAATTGCTGAGAATGATGTATTTGGCATGGCCGTCAAAAGGTCAGCAGTAGAGGGCAGCGGTGTTTGAAACATCTAGAAATGCGGCAAAGAAATGGAGAGAAGACGGACTTCTGCATACCGATGGGGGACTAGGAATAAGGCAGGAGGGTTGTAGTGCAAGAGGTGAAGAGAAGAGGAGACACACAGAGATAGATTTACACTTACGTAAACACATGCTGCAAACACATGCATGCACGCACACACGGTCCCACCAGATCCCGGCATTCATGTGGAATGTTCTTGGCTGAAGACATAACAGCTGCTTCTTTGGCCTCTCTTCCCTTATACCCCCCTCCCTTCCCAATAGCTTTTCCCATGGCCTTTCCTCAGTCTGCCCCACTCCCCCGAAGCACACAGAGGACTGTGCCTTGACCACTTGGGCCTTGCCCTGACCACAGACTTAGACCTGGTTCAAGTCTGGATGTAGGCTCTGTCTCACACATGGACTGGGTATGGTTTCCCTTGTCTGGTACCCGGTACCCTCAGGGTCCCTCTGTCTTGGCACCTGTGTTGCCCTGTCAACATCTCTTCTTTCTTTGCACCTCTTGCTTTGTATGTCTATGTGAAATCTTTTCGTGAGAACGCCTGAATTTCTGTTTCTGTGGCTTTTAGGTGTCATCCCCAAGGGGAAGAGTATTAAGAGTTGTTGGGGTGAGAGATGGGTAGGGTTTAAAAAGGATGTTTGACTCTCAACATTGTATAAGGTCCTAGGATATGTCCCTATAGTTAACGTGTGGCTGTTATGTGGGTATAGTTCTAAAACCACGGATGGACCTTCTGATTCTCCACTGTGATCTAGGCGTGAGATTTTACTATAGACTGAGGTAGCCGTAACTACTGTCACCTAGGCATTAGAGGGCAATAAGTATCAACCAGAAAGAGAGAGCGATTTGCTTCTTTGGGGTTGAAATCATGCTGACATAATACAAACACAACTGGGTCAGCACCCTGTCAGGCGTAGTCTGCTCAGTGCAAAAACTGTGAGAGCCAAATGGGCACTTTTGAAGAACCCACGACTCAGCCACACTTCCCAACCACATTCACCTCTGCCTCGGCCTCTCCCTGCCTACCCTGGCTCCCTGTCTGGCTGCACCCTGGGGAATGCTTCTGCTCCGCTGGATTCCCACTTTGCATCCCCTCACCTTGAGGAGTCAGTACTTACAACCAAGACTATATAGATGAAACGCAGGCTGACATAACTTCCCCCATATTACTTCAGAGCTCTAAATTCGTCTCAGCTGCTCCACGGCCTCATTTTATGTCCCTGTGTCCTTCAGAATCACCTCTCCCAGAACCTGCCCCCACGGTGTTGGGAGCTATAAATCCAGTTTGCACACCTAACGCTAGTGCGTGTCTGGTAGACTGACAGCAGTGGTCCTTGGTGAGAATAGATACAGGCTTTTGAGGGTCCAGGCGATCGTTCAAGATTTCAGGGTGAACAAGAGTGTGATTTAGCATCCCAAGCAGATACGTCTGCGGGAAGGAACTACTGCTCCTCTCATAGTTTAGACCATTTTCACCTTGTTCGCTTTCAGAACCACACGGACTGTGCCCCCTGATGTAACTGCCCCCTAGGTTTAAGGTAGATTCCTTTCCATTTTAGTAGCACCGTCCTCCTCCTTCTGAGAGGCACTTGTTTCCATGGCTCTATTAGGTCAGTTGCAGTTGCTGGTTTTAGGTTGGGTGACTCCCCTCTGTTTTCATACCTGGTCGGGCAAAGTTGACCTACGAGGAGCAAAAGGGGAGAGGCAAGCCCAGGAGCCCATGGGTCAGGGAGGCCCCAGGTGAACATCCGGGTGGCGAAGAGACCCCGACTGTGACCTCAGCATATCGTTTGTGTCTGTGCTGCACAGGTTAGCGGAGGAGCCGGGACAGAGAGGAAGCGCGGGTGAGTACGGTGTGTTCTCTGCCCACCCCACGGCCCCTTTCCCTCCTCCCTTTCCTCCGTCACACTTCCCAAGCCAGAGCCACCCCGACACGTGAGATCCAAGTTGGGGTTTCCTTTATGAGCCCAGCTGCTCCTCCTCTCTGCTCAGCCCCGCCAGCATACCAGCTGGGCCGCATTTCCAGACCCGGACCCGTCCTGCACTGCTGTGGGCCTGGGCCTCGGGCAGGCCTTGGTGTCACCTGTGTTGGGATGCAGGTGGCAGACCAGACGCCGCTGGCTGAAACCGGCTCTGGGAGCGGGCGTCAGAGGTCAATCCCGGGGCTGCCGCTGCCTCCTTGCTCCTGATTTCCCCCAGCCACTATCATTTCTCTCTGGGGATCAAACCACAGCCAGCGCGGGATCACACTGACTCTGCCAAGCCGACCAAGTCGTTTCCCATGATGCCTGGCCAAGCTGCACCTTCTCACTTCCTAAAAAAAATTGATAGAAGTACAGATTTCCTCACAGGCAAATGCCCGTTGCCTTTAGGAATTAGTCTTTCACGCTTTTCCATCTCAGGACCTTAACTTTTATCTAGTTCCAGTTCCAAGGTATTGCAGTTTCAGGGCATGCACTGCACACTGAAAGGAAAGGACGAAAATGATTGGACAACTAATCGGTTCAAGAGAAGGGTTCTTTCAAGGATAGATGCCTTTGGTGCAGCCTTGACATTTCTCTTTATTTTTCAGTCTTTTCTTCCCTCCGCTCCCCCACCTCTTGTGTTTGAAAGTTAGGCCATCTTCCTCAGTTACAGATCTTCCAGGCAGAAAAGCCAGGGCTGCAGCCCACGATCCAGAAAAGGAACTTTCCCAGGCCCTTCTCAGCAGTATTATCCTGGAGCAGCCTCCGGGCTTTTCCTGACACCCCCGACTTCCCCCGTCTGCACCAACCCGTTGGTTCTGTCCTGCTGGCACTCCAGGACCTGCTGTCTCTGAGCCTCCACTGACTCAGGGATCGTGCAAGCTAAAGATGGGCAGTGCAAGCTGCGGAAATTGTCTCGCTGCCCTGGAAACCACGGACCCTCCAAGGCTGGGGCAGGCTTCTCCCTGAACTCACTGCGCATGCAGACGAGGCCCTTCCTGACAGCAGGCCTTGGCTGCCGCAGCCACGAGGCAGTCAGGAGCTGACTTGCCCTCGGGGAGCCTGTCAGAGCCCCTCTCCTCGGGGCACACAGGAACTGGGGGACGAGGAGAGGCGTGTCTGCCACCTGGCCCACCACTCTTCGTGCACATGAGGAAACTAAGGCCCACCACCCAGGAGCTCGGTGCCGGAACTGGAATCGGAGCTGGGTCCTCTGCTCCTAGTGCTGTCCTCTGACCCCAGGAGGAATATTGAGAAACTCACCACTAGTGGAGAGTCAAATGGAAAGCCTGCACACTCAGGTGGACCCTTAAGTTCTGCTGTCTTCGGGCACGCGGCTAGGCTTTCTCCCCTTCCACTCAGCGCTTCTCAGCACATCTCTGCCCTTCTCCTCAGTCACGATTCTTCTTCCCATGGAACCACCACATTCCAAACCTTGCACTGTGAACAGTTCTTTCTTTCCTGGAAACATTTCCTGACCCTGTGACCTAAGCAAGGACTCCAAAGACTCGAGATACCCCCAGAAAAGAGAATGCCCCCTTCCCTGAAAGGGGGTGTGAGTATTGTCACTCTTGGCATATCCCGAGTTGAAAGGTAAGCGTCCCAACAGCGCCATCCTGGCACATTGTCTTGTCCCCAGCAGACGTCAGCAGCCTTTGCTCAGAGACTCTTGGCAGTGCCCGGGAGTCACAGTGCGTCTGTCCTGCACAGGCACAGGGGACGTGGAGTGAGCTGGCACCGACAGGAGGAAGGCGAGGTGTTCCCCCAGAGGCGCATTCCTGTCCGTCTCTCCGCTGCTCACCTGGACCAGGCTTGCAGGCTGCCAGACGTCACCACCCGCTGGGGCGAGGGGAGCCCAGACGGTGGGAAGTGGGAGGGACTGCTGGTGCTGCCTCGGGCACACACCCCCACCTCGCCCAGTCCTGCATGAGCTGGCATCTTCACTCCCCTCCGGGCACGGTCTCATCGCTGCAACAGGAGTTTACTGGAGGTTGAAAAGGGAAAAGAAACAGCACGAATCTCCTGTGTGTGTGACCTGGTAGAGTTCTTGCTGGCGTCTCGCCAGCACTCGGGGTGCTCCCCAGGATGGGGGCACAACTTTCCACCTGACCTTTGACCTTTAAAACCAACAGGTTTTCTTCCCTCAATCATGCAGACAGCTTCAGGCCCTGCTCACTTCTACCAACATTCACACCCTGGCCACGGTGCTAAAAATAGCCTCCTGCCTTTCTGCTTAGGCTTCCGCCCTGTTTGATGCCTGCACTGCAGCCCAGGCGGGAAGCGGGAGCAGGGAGAGAGCTCTACACTGCAACCCCAACAAATCCCCTCCTTGCCCTCCTTCCCCCTGCTCCTTCTCCTCCTCCTTCCCCTGCTCCTTCTCCTCCTCCTTCCCCT